CCACCTGACACATCAGCAAAGAGCAGCACTCCATGGAAGTTCTGAACGCAACGGTTCTCCTGCTTCAAGTCCTCAGACAAAAGCAGGTCGGGGACGTAAGCAGCTACTTCCCCCAGTTCTGAGCAGTGCTTTGACCTTCGCTCCCAGGCACAAGACATCGTCAGCGCCCTGGGGTACCTGCGGTACCTCAGTACAAGACGACCCACCGTGCCCACCAGGGAGGACGACCAGACACCACTGCACAGCGTTGCGCACTGGCCTTTGGGAGGCGCGGCTGGCCCTCTGTCACCAAGGGGCCGGGGGAGGTCACAGTCGGCTCACAGTGACATCGTCCGCGTGTCATCATTTACCTGTCCACTGTCGCCTACGCTGATCCGGCTAACAGTGACAGCCTCGGCAAGGCACCGCTTACCCAGCAACTGCCGGGAAGCTGCCCCCCGCTCCCTCCCTACGCCGAGCCGGTTGCTCAGAGGTGGCTAGCGCGACGCAGTTGTCTCCCGTACAGAGCTGAAGGAGGCTCGCACAGCGACTGACCTCCACCCGTGGCCGAAACAGCAGCTGCTTCCCACGTTCCCAAGCGCAAAGGGCCTAACAGACGTGCTGACAGCCAGCAGCCCAGGCTTCCCCATGAGAAGGGAGCACAGGGCACAGATGGCGCCATAGTGACCACAGGGCAGAGTGGACTCCATTACAGTGAACGAGTAGCTCAGCAGCAATACAGCTTCCACAGCTGCAAGGCCATTTTCTGCTTTGCGCATAAGCACTCTGCTGAAATATCATGGCTCAAACCAGATAGAGCCTTCAGGGTAACATGAGAGAATGCAGGGGCCATTTGCAGCACTGCGCTCCACTGCACAGGAAACCAGGTGTGTCTGTCACAGACGTATCAGAGAGGGGAAGAGAAAGTTCAAAGACTTGGTAGGAGGCAGCTCCTGTTTCCTGCTGTGGGTGCCAGAGCTGTGTAAAGCTTTCATGCCATACGCCAGGCACCCTGGGTCCCACACAGCCCACAACTGGCTATTCTCTAAGGGAAGTTGAGCTGGGAGCTGAGGGCAACCCCAGCCCAGGCAGTGCTGTTGTCACAGGGCACTGTCCTGCAGGGACTGAACACAGCATGCACAGCTGGGTGCTGGTAGCAGCGTCCAGCAACAGTCCCAGACAAGGCAAGTCACGAGTCAGATCCAGGGTCCATCCAGGGAGGACGGTCAGGACCAAAGGGAGACAGGGCCAGAGAGAGGGCTGGAGACAAGTTGCAACATACTTACAAGAAGTCTGTCCAGGAGATAAGCTACCTGCAGTACTAGCCCAAGGTCCATTCAGGAGGCAGGGCCAGTGCCAGGTACACCTACAGTGTTGCTCAGGTAGGGACTGAAGGCCCAGGCCTGAGCTGAAATGGGGCTCCAGTGAGCAGAGGGGACAGGTGGGTGGATGTCACCCCCTAGGTGAGGCTGATCAGGGCCATTAGGGCCCATTAGTGCCCTCAAGGCCCTAAGAGCAGCTTCCTCTCCCAGCAAGGGTGTTCTCACACCTTACCAAAATCTAATTTCAGAGGGGATTTGCTATGGAAAGCCCTGATCTCAGGACTATGGGTTGTCTTCAGGCTATTGTAAGGGGTTACAGATCCAGGGTGGGGACACAGAACTAGGAGAAGACATTGCACAAGAACGACGACAGGATCACAGCAGGGATATCGCCAAGCTCCTGTCCCACAGGAAGTCACCTGCTCAGCCCAGTGCAATCTGTCCTTTTCCACACTGCAAGAGGGCTCAGAGCACTGCACTGCAGCTCCTCAGGCATGGATGCTCCTCACTCTGAGTTCCAACAAGGTCTGGACAGCAAGAGAGAAAGGAGTTTGCACCATCTGTCTAAGTCCAGGTGCTTGCTACTTTCTGAACACTTGACTCCAGAGTTGTGATGCTCCTCACTTAACTGCTCCAAGTGTTGCTTTACACCTACATCCCCAGGGATTTTAAAGGCCATCAGCAGATTGGCTTATTGTGCTAAGCACTGCCCTGGCAGAGAGCAAACATTAGCTGTCTGTCACAAAGAGCTCAGAGGCAGAAAGGCAAAGCAGCTCTTCCCAGAGGAAGGATGGTCAGGCAAAGGAACTACATGGCAAATCAGTAGACAGAGTAGAGGCAGCTTTGAAAAATTTTTCCTGGGTAAAAATGTCTCTGGGAAAGCCTCCTTAGTCTTCTCTCTTCTCCTAAAAGGAGACAAAGCTAATTCACATTGCATAGCATTGTACAGAGCTCACTTGCTTCTTCAGTGTAAATGACCACATCTTGGCTTTTGACACTATTTGTGACAGAAATTGCACTTGTTCACACCTGCCCTGCACACGTTTGGTGTCCTTGTCCAGTGCACACATGCCCTGTAGACCTACAGGTGTGCACTTTCACTCATACAAAGGCAGCACAGGCTAAACAAGGCAGGTCATGTCATGTCCCCAAAACTAGGTGGCTTTTGCCAGCTGCTGACATCATAGAGGTGTCAACTAGCAATGAGCGTGACATGGAGACGCTCTAGCCACCACTCTGCACTTGCAGATCTAGAAAGCGGGTGAAACCCGGCTCAGCTTCCAGCCAGGCAGACTGCCAAGGAGCCAGGTGAGCCACAGAGACAAAGCACTTCCCAATAGCCTTGCCACTGGGCATCTTGTCGGCATGACTGTAATGATAAAACAGCTTGCCTAGGGCTCATGCTTTGCAGCTCCTCCGTGCCTGTCTGCTTGTGTTCCCTAAAGGGCTGCACGCTGTCGAAGGTGTTAGACCATGTCCCCTTCAGGTGGATCCCAGCCCCTGAGCCTCATGTTTCTTTTGGGGATGGGGCTGGCATCAGAGAATTTCAACTGCCCAAGCAAGTGCAGCTGTCAGTACCTGGAAGTGAACTGCACAGGGCAACAGTTGCAGGAGTTCCCTGTGACCATCCCACTGGATACCAGGCAGCTGATTCTGGCAACAAACAAGATCTCATACCTGCCTGCAGTAGAATTGAGCTTCCTCGCTGACCTGGTCTATCTGGACTGCCGGGAGAACCTCTTGGGGGATGACCTGGATTTTACCTTCACTGGTGTGGCGAAGCTCATCTACCTGGACCTCAGCTTCAATAACCTCACGCAGGTCACCTTCAGCACCTTCTCACAGCTCATCAGCCTGGTAGTGCTGAAGATGTCAGACAATCCCAACCTTGTGGAGATTGAGAAGGATGCCTTTGCCAACAACACCTGGCTGAGGTACCTGGATGTGAGCCGGACTGGCTTACTGTTCCTGGATACCAGCACTGTCCGCAATCTGCCCAACCTGAGGTTTCTGGGGCTCAGTGACAACCTTTGGCATTGCAACTGTTCCTTCTTGGACTTCACTGCCTGGATGACAAAGAGCAACGTTCATTTTCCAGGTGAGGACTATGTGAGCAGGACCCCTCTCCTCCCTGCTCCTGCAGATCTGGGTGGAGCAGAGAGGGCATTCTGTTCTCTGTCCCAAAACTAGGATATTGCTACCTCTATTAAATGCCTGGCCTCAGCCTCAGGAGGTATCACTGTGCCTACGAGTCACAAACACCTTACAGCCACAGTGCCAAGAGCGAGGAGCCCAAGGAGGCTCTGGGGAGATCTGCACTGAGAAGGCTACTGCTCTGATTTTCCTGCCTTTTCTCCGTCTGCTCTGTAGATCGTATCTTTTGTTGCTGCTGAAATATCACTGTGTCCGTAACAGTCTGTTGAAAAGCCTTCTCTCCATGGAAATGTATGAAGTACTACCCTATTTCTGCCTCTATTCTGACTTGTTTTGCTCAGCCTCTCCAGCCCTGAGCTCTCCACCATTCTGCCAGTGTCCCCTTCACTTCAAACTCCTCCTGCTACTCCATTTGTGCACAACACTGTGGGAAGGCAGATCTTATTTGCACAACCTCTACAGTTCTGCTCAATGCTAAAAACAAAGTCAGTCTGAAACTCAGTCAGCCCCTCTTCTGCTCTCAGCTCGCACTGGACAGGGTCTCCAGGAAGAGTTCTGGTACTGCAGAAGTAAGCAAGAGTTTTGCTGCTGACTTCAGTGGGGCTATGGTCACACTCTGCTTCCTGCTGACTTATTTTCATATGTGAAGAGTGTACGCAATGCCTTTTTCCTTAAGAGCACGGCAGCTGTTGTGTTAGAGCAGATCAAAATTACAATTCCTATAACCTCCAGCTTTCACAGCGCTTCTAGCCATCGAAGCAAGTTCATTTGACTGGTTCTGAGGCTCAGGTCATGACCCATGGCCTCAAAAAAAGACTTTTGCTGTTCCCATGGGGGGTTCTGGTTTGGGTCCCAGGTGAAATGTGATTGACAGGGTGAAACAGAAGGCAAGTTAAGGCTGTGGTCAGAAAAGTGTCTCTGTACCCTTATGACTGGCAGGCTTCATATGTTCCCACTCTTCCTCCAGCATCCCAGAGCAAATTGGCTCAGTTTTATTTTACGTTATCCAAAACAATAAATGTAAGTACATTGCAGATGAGCATTTGCTTGAGTTCCATGACTTCAGCAGCACAGTGGCACTTACTCCTGAATAAGAGCCGTTTCCTGAAAGCAGGGCCTTCTTTCCTTACATCATCTGGGATGCCAAAATCCAGCCATTTTCCATCTTATTGAGACATTTACAGCTGGATCACAGACATTGAGTATTCACGAGGCAAAGTAATCACCAGTTCCCTTTTCCAGAAAAACACTGACCCCAAGGGTAAAACTTTGTTCTGCAGCTGTGAAATTTGTATTTGATTTTCCACACTGAAAAGGAACACATCACTGTACTAGTGAAAAAAGCTTGATCCTCAGTAATTCCCCCTACAGTACTGAGGGAGAGCTGCAAAAGAAAAACTGTTCGAAAGGCTGCCCATCAAGCAAGAAAGGAGTACAAAAGAACCATAAGGAAGAAAAAGGAAGGACAAATGGAAGCTGGCGTTAGGACAGAAGAGAATTAGGGATGTCTGTGTGTCTTATTAGCTGTAGTAAACACCCTGTAGGCAGTAAAGTTACTCACAGTCCTTATACAGATTACAGGCAGTTATGGAACAGTGTAAAGAAGTACTTCCCATAGCAGTCACCAGGTAGTTTGGAGATAACACTCAGAAGCCTTGAACAGGAGAGTAAAGCTCATTGCAGGCAGTTTGGTAGGATATGAGTAGAAAAGCAAGTGGCAGCAAGGACTGGGGGTATTAGTATGGGTCCCTGCACCACACTGTGAAGGATGGGAAAACCAAAAAGATCAAGACCACCTATTCAAACCTTTCTTATGAGGCTGGGAAGAGATGGAACAGACTGTGCTAGGACTGGGAAGAAGCGTCCCCTCCACCTGCTTACGTGTGTCAGAGCAGAGGAGGAAGAGCGAAAAGACTCAGCAGTAGCCAGTGGAGGCAGCTCCGGTTTCCTCCTCTGTGTCAGGCTTTGCTACATCCCAGCAAGGTGCTGGGGGCGAGTCAGCAGGAGGTGTTATATTTCCTGGAACTGCTGTGAGAACTGTGTTAAACTTTAACGCTGCAGGTAAATGTACCCAAGCTGGGAACCCTGGAGCACATATGCCCATCTGCATCCAGGCAGAGAAAGGCAACTCCATGTTTGTCAGGACTAAGTGGCCCTGAAATGAGGGTTGTTCCAGGAGCTGACAGCTCTAGCGCAGAGAGATGACGGGACAGATGTAACTGAGGGGCAATACGGAGGAGCACTGAAATCTGCTGCAAGCAGATCCCCATCCTGGCCTTTAAAAAGCTTCTGCAGCTTCACAGAACACCTTTGCACCAGTGTTTTATGCTCAGCTGGAGCTGTGCGCAGTCTAGTTTGGCACAGTGGTATAATCCCACTGGCAGTATTTTCCTATCGGGACAATAACACAGAAATCATTCTGATCATTCTGGCAACCTGATGGTTGTGGTTTGGCAAGTGACAGACTGCGTGTTTTTATCTAGGCTGTAGAGGGAGAGGAATATGAAGTCTGGACCAATTTTTACAGTCTTTAGGAAACTCCTCCACAGTTTTTCTAGGAGGACTCCTATCCACTATTGCTCAAGGCACAGACAAGTTAGTCTTGCTTCTGCTTTTTCCTCTGCAGATGCTGAGAACATCACCTGCTACACACCAGAAGGTCTACGTGGCTTGAAAATGTCTGCAGTGAAAGCACAGCTCCAGTTCAACTGTCTGACCCAATTGCACAAGCGGGACTACATCTTTCTGTGTCTCATTGGCTTCTGTATATTCTCCGCTGGCACTGTGGCAGCCTGGCTGGCTGGCATCTGCGCAGTGATATATGAAGTCCACACTGCAAAGGGGGAGGACGACGAAGAGGAAGAGGAAGACACAACCACTTAGAATTGACCCTAGAAATCCTTCTTCTGAATGCCTGTTCTGGGACCTGAAAGCAGGCCCTTCCTGTCCAATTTCACATATTATGCGTCCCACTCCAGATGTGATTTTTTGAACCAAATTAAAACTGCAAGAGAACAAAGTCCCCGTGTCCCAATTTTGCTCACTCTGCTGCCTCCATGTTTATTCTTCCACTGGGACTCAGGACACTGACAAAATATTCAGTGGCCACCAGAACAGTGGACAACCAGCAGCATTAACACTCCTCCTTTACCGTATGATAGCCACAGAAAAGCAGGATCAGCATGGGGCCTGTCATGTCATAGGAGCAGGCTTGAAGAGTTATGTCCTGTGACACAAACTGTGCTGTAGCCGGGCAGTTTACCTTTACCAAGGTCTTTTTGGTGAAAGCCCAGCAGAGCTTACTGGGACCAGCCTAGATAGCTCACTGGTGCCCTAGAGAATCTGAGAATCTTCCCAGGAGGGCAAGTATATAAGCAAAGAGATTAAAAACAGGATGACAAGGTCAGGATCCTATTAGACTCTAAAGTAGGATGCTCCCATCACCATAAACCCTGGTCTGCAGGAGCCCTTTGTGCAGTCGGTGAGCAGTAGTGGGTGCCAAAGGCTACTGGAACGCAGGTCATCCATTTCCAAGCCTCAATGTGAACACAGGAGTCTTTAAGGTTAAGCTTTCACTTTCTGAAAAGCTTGCGTGTGGCCTCTACCCCTAGAACTAGGGAGCTCACTAAGAGAGAAACAAATGTTCTTCTCAGAGAAATTTTAGGGGGGAAGCATCCGCATGTCACAGTTAAATGGAGAGACTGAATCTTATGGGAAAAAGAATTAGGCATTTTTGTAACTGTTGAAAAAAAAAAAAAAAGTCCTTCAGAAAAGCCCTTCGGTTGGATCCGAAAATAGATTTAATTGCCTAAATGCAGATTTTGACCAGTCACTAAAATTCTGGAGGTGCCTAATTCCCTTAACAGGCACTTCTCTGATTCGCCTGAAAGCCCCACAGGCCCCTTGCAGGCCCAGGAGGGGTGCATGCCCACACCTCCCCTGCCCTGAGCACCCAGATCCTTCATACACCACAACTGGCATCAATCAGCAGGTGGGTTTGTTCCTGAAGGGCATGACCCTTCAGCCTGCTCTGAGCAGGCCTCAGACATGCTGGATTAGCACAAGCTGAAGTGTTTTGCTCGTTTAGGACTTTTAGGAGCCTGGGATCCCACTGGGTCCTGCTTTCTTCCTTTCTTACGCCGACAACAGTGAAAGACGCCATCCGTCCTCCTGCAGTGCGACCCCACTGTACCTCCACTGGCTTACGAACATTTTGCACACCTTTGTCCCCTTACAGAACTAGAAAATCTACCTCCTAAAATTTAAGTTTTGTATCACGTATCACTAAAGCTGGAATTTTTTGATGTAAGATATATTGCCTGCATATTATCAACGTATTCCTGGAAAAGACTTGTGTTTTCATACAAAAGTCCCAGGGTTGTAGATATAGACCAGAACAAAGGGAGATGTAAATAAGAGCCTTCATTTTCCTAATGCTGCTAATTGCCAAGGGAGGTATCTGCTCGCATGAAAACGTGCAGCAACTCCACATGTGCAACACTGGCTTCTTTGCCTGACACCAGCTAGATCTGATGAAATGAAAGGGAAAAGTTGAGACAATTCCAGCAAGCACGGTAAACATGCTATCTTATAAGCATTAAAATGTGACTGGTCTGTAGACTGAATCAGAAGTGAAATTACCATGTGGTGGTCTTATGCACAACCCATACACCCCGAATAGGCCAGAGCGGACACAGAAGCGCAGTCTACTGAGCATATACGTGTGTTTGTGTGTGTGTATGCCCATACTGGAGAGCTCTGTAAAGACTGTGAGGGAAAACTATCTACACAGGATCAACAACTGTAATAAATCCCCCATGAGCAAACCCGGTGAAGTCCTTGAAGACAGCAGCACTGCAAAACTCTTTGCAGAATCGCATGAATTAGAATCAGCTCTAAAAGTTTTACAAATTAGCCCACGCAGTTCAATACTGGTACTGATAGAGCAGTCTGAAATACCCTAGGAGTATCCCTGCCTGGCCAGCTGGTGCCTCGCAGCGTAAAAACAAATAGCATGCGTTCAACTGCTTCAGCAAAGAAGATTCGTAACAGCACAGACCCTTACCAGCGCACGCGCGACAAACCGCTCACGCAAGACCTGGAGATTTACCAATTTTACCTGGAGAGCGGTAACAAGACCTGCCTTTGAACGCGGCAGCCTCAGAGCCTGAGACACCTCCTCTTCGGGGGCGTCTAACCTCGGGGCGGTGCCGCGCGGGGCTCCACCTCGGGGCGGTGCCGCGGGCAGGACCCGGCCCCGGCGACCGCTGCGCTCCGCTCCGCACCGCTCCGCCCCGCTCCGCACGTGAGGGGGGCCCTGATGCCGCGTGGGCGGTACCGGCCGGGGTGGGGTGGGGGAGGCCGCTCTGCTGTAACGCTGTGTCATGTTGCGCGATCTCTTGCCTGCAGCGCCGCGCTGCCAGGGAAATTCCGCCCCAGGCTGCTGCCGCTCCCCGCCCTTGCAGCCCTGGGCAAAGGCTGCTGCAACGCGCAGGCCGCCCAGATAAGGAAACGGCCACCGGGCACGCAAGCGGAGGGAAGTTGAAGGTCCTGTTGACTTTGAATTGCACATGAGTAGAGCAAAGGTTCTCTGAACGGTTTTCTACCGGTGGCATAAGAATAGCAGCTTCCTAATACGCCAGGCTTAAGGCAATCCTCGGGCTGTGCAGAGCTTTGCTGCAAGCGAATAGCCTTTCCTCTGATTGACCTGTGCTCTTTGCGCTTAAAGCCATAAAACCACAATTTGTAGCTTAGCAGCATGAAAGATAACATGTCTGATCCTTGCTGTTAGGTGCAGGTTCTCCACCAAGCTTCTGGGGGGGGGGGGAATTACCATCAATTTGCTCAATCTGGGGGGGAACACCCTGTATTTTCGGTGTGTTTTTCAAGTGGTAGCTTCCATCACATGCAGGTACAGCTGGTATTTCTTAGTTGTTAAGAATATTGAAAAACTAAAGTAACTGTTTACCAAACTTTGTGCGGACAAAGCCCTTATCTTCACCTTGCTCTGTCCGTAATAATCTCTTTGCAAATGAGAAATAAAAAGCTCACGTCCCTGAAGAGCCCCTGTGAAGGGGCAGGAGGAAGGCTGTTTGCGCTGGCTCCACGCTGTGGCTCCACACCTTCCCCCCCC